CATACAAATATTTCACATGTATCATACCACATGATCAATACAAAACCCCTACACCCTATGTGCTTGGTATTATTTTACAGGTGAAGAAACCAAGGCTTAATACTTTGCTTATATTCCCAAAATCACAGAGTAACAGGCTTTGAACCATGGCTCTCTAATCCCAGAGTCTGACATTATCCAAACACACTGCCTCTCTCTCAATGTAGATAGTCACGTGTAGTCAAAATATATTTTATGAACCATAGCTTGACTTATTTCATACAACTTTGTTTCATCCACTAGTCTGTGATCTTTCTGAGGGCAGGAACTGTGATTACTGATCTCTGAATCTCTAGGCCAGGAGCTATGCCAAACAACTGTGAAGAAATGGTCAAAGGAACAAATGAAGAGGGAACGCATCTCAAGGGAAAACAATGCTTTATCTATTGAAAACTTTTAATAAATTTTAGTAGTAAAATTTAAATTTATTATTATTAAATTGTTATTAAAATTCATTCTAGTTCTATTATTAAAATTTATTGATTTTTTTTTTTTTGGCTTAAAAACCAGAAATTTATTTTCCCACAGTTATGGAGCCAGGAGTCTGAGACCAAGATGTCAAGAGGGTGGGTTTCTTCCACACACCCTGAGGGAAGGGTCTGTTCCAGGCCTCTCCTGTTGGCTTACAGATGGCAGTCTTCTCCCTGCTTTTTTATATCATCTTCCTTCTGTGCATGTCTGTGTTCAAATTTCCCTTTCTTTTTTTTTTTTTCTTTCTTATTTTTTTTATTTCAGCATATTATGGGGGTACAGATTTTAAGGTTTCAATAAATGCCCATTTCCCCCCCTTCCCCCCACAAGTCTGATTCTCCAGCATGAGCATCCCCAGATGGTGCACATCTCACTCATTATATATGTATATACCCGCCCCCCTCCCCCTTGCCCAATACCCTATTACTGCAGTACCTATGTGACCACTTAGGTGCTGTTCAGTTACTACCAATTTGCTGGTGAGTATATGTGGTGCTTGTTTTTCCATTCTTGGGAAACTTCACTTAATATTACGGGTTCCAGCTCTAACCAGGAAAATATAAGATGTGCTATATCACCATTGTTTCTTAGAGCTGAATAGTACTCCAAGGTATACATATACCACATTTTATTAATCCATTCTTGGATTGATGGGCACTTGGGCTGTTTCCACAGCCTTGCAATTATGAACTGTGCTGCTATAAACATTCGAGTGCAGGTGTCTTTTTTGTAGAGTGTCATTGGATCATTTGGGTAGATGCCCAGCAATGGGATTGCTGGATCAAATGGTAGATTCACTTGTATCGCTTTAAGGTATCTCCATATTGCTTTCCACAGAGGTTGAACTAATTTGCAGTCCCACAAGCAGTGTAGGAGTATAGAATTTTTTTATTTCCATCTTGATTTCTTCATTTATGAAGTAATCATTTAGTAGGAGGTTGTTTAATTTCCACGTTTTTGTGTAGAAATGTGTGTTTCTGTTAGGGTTGATTTCTACTTTTATTCCACTGTGATCTGAGAAGGTACATGGTATGATTTCTATTTTTTTAAATTTCTTGAGATTTACTTTGTGTCCTAGGATATGGTCAATCTTAGAGAATGTCCCGTGAGCTGATGAGAAGAACGTGTATATTCAGTGGATTGTGGGTAGAATGTCCTGTAGATGTCAGTCAGACCCAGTTGTTCCAAGGTTTTATTTAAGTCCATTATTTCTTTATTAATTTTCTGTTTGGAGGATCTGTCTTGTGCCGTCAGTGGGGTGTTGAAATCTCTGGTGATTATGGAGTGATTTATTACATTTTATAAGACATCTAATCTCCAAACAGCAGTGACATATAAGCATTGACCAATGTTAAAGAGTAAGATGGAAACATGAGGGCACTGGTACTCAGTAATCCAGTGGGTGACCAAGCTCCCCAGAAATCATATTAGTGCACAAAGAAGTGGCCACTGACAAGCTAAATGGCACTTCTGAACCTGTCTCTGACTACAGACAAATACAGAAATTTCCAACCCTGAACCCTACTTTACGAGTAATGAATATGTTCTTATGAGACAGAGACATTAGAGGAAAAAAAGAAGAAAACAGGGATGATGGAACAATTCTGGAAGATGATTTGCAGTGGCCAATACTAAAGAGTCTCTTTGCTTTTTCAAAAGTTTAAGAATTCAAGGATGCTTTATAACAATGACCCTTCTTACTTCACTCCCCCTCCACTGGCAGCTCCAATGCCCTTTATCCTTTTGCCTTCACTGCAAAAAGATTGCATGATTTCAAATCTCTTCCAACATTTTTATAGGTAAAGCTTCGGTGATCTTGTCAAGATGACAAAAGTACTGTAGCCAATGAAGGAAAAATAAAGGAAAAATGAAAGATTGCAGATTGTATCGGACTGCCTAATAAAAGACAAGTCAATCATTTTATATCTGATGTTTGCATTTTTAGCTCTAAATTTCAGGCTGTGTCCCCTTCAGTGAAGGAAAAATTTTTTAAAACATCATTACTCTACTGCAGGGAAAAAAATTTCTCTGAAATTGTGAAATTAACCTCTCCCTTCATTCACACATTCAGTTCTATTTTTGCAGTTGTGCCAGTAATCTAAAAGAAAAAGCACTGAAAGTCAATTCCAGGTTTCTAAAATGTCTGACTGTGCATGTCCCAGTTCTCTTCAGTACCTCCCAGAAGATTCAGCCAATTTTTATTTCTGCAGCGCATCAGTGTTTATCATTTGTTTTACAACAGCACTGCATGTTCTCGAAAATTGACTTAGATGTATTTCACTCATCCTCTACAAAAACTCAAGAGAGATAAATGGCCTTAAAAACAAAATCCACCACCGAGGCATTGTTAATTTACTAAAAGAGCATTTCCTTTTTTACCATCTCAGCTCAATATTTACTTCATTACAGTGGTAACTCCACACCCACCCCCACCAGCCTCGGTCTTTGTCAGGATTTTGACAAATTTCCAGCTTGTAATTAGGCATTATGAAAATTCACTGTAGGAAAACTATTGCCAGAGAAAAGCTTCTCCATTCACCTTGCTTTATAGAAATACTGATGACTTTCACCTTCAGGAAGGCTGAGAGCAAAATCATGGATGGATTTTGACTGCACATGTTTGAATAAACATAATTTTTTATGGGCAAGTATTCTAAGAAGTGATTAAGTCAAATAGACTTGGAATAAAATCCTGTTTCTTTTCATCTGGGTACTCAAAGGCAAGTTGCTTAACTTCTCAGTTTCCTTTTCTATAAAATGAAGATATTAACAAAACATATCACATAGGGATTATAGGGAGGAATAAATAAGAAAAACCACCCAGTGCAATGCCAAATGCAGAGTAAATGCTCAATAAATAGCAGCCATTACTATTTGATGAATATAGAAAAGGAATGGCACAAGGAAGGTGCCACCTCCCCTCTGTTGTCATCCTCAGAATTTTACTGTTCTCATTACTAATGAAAAGTTTCTGGACTACTTGCAGCCCTGAAAGAAGGCCTGGGAGTTTTCTACCTCAGAGAAGGGAGGATAAGAGCTCGAATGTGAGGCAGCCTCTCAGGCCCATCAGCGTTGGCTAAACCCACTGCAACACACATCCTCACAGGGATTAGAGGAGCTCATGACAGGGGCTCTTCCCTCAGAGCAACTCCTTGCTCTGTGAGCTTAGACAAATCTCCACTCCCTCATCCTCAAAGTGAGAGTGGACAAGACAAACTCAGACACTGTTTGTTTTCAGAGAGAATTATTTCCAAGTGTGGGGGTGGGGAGAACAAGAGCAAGGAGTTCTCAGGGGAGCAAAAACAAGCAAGAGATCTCATTGGAGACTTCTAGCCTGGCATCATCATATATTCAGGAGAAAAGTAGCTGTCAGAGGACAACCAAGTATGATCAGATATAATGTCTGGCTTTCTGTTTGAACATATCTCAACTCCTACCATCACTCTAACAATTTCTACCAAGAGTTGTGGGGCTAACACACAGTGAGCACTCTCTATGTTCCTAGCAATCTGCAGACCTTTGCATGCACTGCTTCATTGTCCTTCACCCTCAGGAGATTATCTTCATTTTCAGGTTGGGAAACAGGCACAGAAAGGTTAAGAAACTTCCTTAAGGATACTAGATTACAATGGAATCAAAATTTGACCCCAAACAGCCTGGTTCCAGAGTCCACAGTCTTCACGCCTACTCTCCCCTATTCCCACTCCCACTGGTAAAACAACCACTGGAAACTTAGTCTTGCTTTCTGTGACTCATAATTCAATTTTCTGTAATAATATTTCTCTAAAACTTATATTACTGAGCTGGTATTAGCCCTTAGGAGGTTTTAGGCCTCTTTTATTTAATGTTCACAATGGGCACATTTCAAAAGATTGCAATTCAACTAGATTGAAGGGGGGAGCATGCCACAGAGGGGTGGATGAGACAGTGTGGGCCCTGAGTTCATAACTGTTGAAGCTGTGATAGGTACGTGGGGAATCTATACACTATTTACTTTTGCTTGTGTTTGAAATTTTCCATAATAAAAGAGTTAACAGCAACAAAAATATCAACCACAAAGAAGATAACTGAAGACTAAGCTGTCTCAGGATCCAGAGGGACATTCGGCTACAACAGACAATGCCTCTACAGAAGATTCCAGTCTCAATTTTGAGAACTGAGAGTACAGGAATTTATTTTATCAAAACTTTTGCTAAGTCAAGAATCCTCCCTTCAAAATATCTTAGTCTTGTCTATCTGGAACAATTAAAGACATTCCTGGAGTTGAATTTTTTGCTCACTCTCATTTTTGTTGCTGCTGCTGCTGCTGCTGCTGCTGCTGCTGCTGCTACTGCTGCTGACTAGAAAACCTTTTGCCTCCCTCCTCGTGACAGGTTTATCTCTCCACAGCCTACAAATTACTGAAAACTACTTGTAAAGTCAAACTTAAACCTGTCCACCACAATATCTTTTTCACAGTTTTCTTAAAAGATGAAAACAAAGAAACTTACCCATTCTGTTGTGCATTCCCTCTTTGCCAAAGTGTGCTGCGGTTTCGAAAACTAGCCCAGTCCTTCTGAACTTTTCTGTATCCGTTATAATATTAAAGAGCCACAAGGAAGGGAAGTGGTTAGTCAACTTGCTAATTTTATCAGTCCCTCCCACTGGTTAAATAGTACCTGATGCTACAGACGAAAAATCAGTTTTCCAGCTCATTTCCCTGCTACAGCATGACTTTATAAAGACAGCATAACTTGGAGGCAAGGAGACTGACTCTATCTGGTTTGTAGTCATGAGATAGTTAATGAATGAACACTTTATTACTATTAATAAGAAGCCTAAAAGACTACAGCAACCAGCAAACCAGTGATTCAAGAAAATGAGGAGGAAGAGAATGTCTGTCAGCTCCATACGCTGAGCACACTCAGTTTGGGTGGGAAGGGGAGTGATTTTTAATGCAATCAGAGGACGTGTGGGAAGTGGCTGGTGTTTCATTTGTTGATAAATGATTCTGCCCTGGAATAGAGCCAGTTTACCGGATATAGAAACTTCCACAACTTGGAGCCCTGGCTTGGACGACTCTCTTCCTCTGGAGTTTAGTGATTGAAACACAGGACAAAGTAGCAAACATGTGCCTCTGAATGAGGGAAAATTAAACATCCTTTAAAGAAGCAGCTATGAACTGTTTCCTAGATGCAAAGACCTACAATGAATGAGAAGAAAATACAGGGCCTGACATAGATTTTAACGAAATGAAATGCTTTTTGCTCTTACAATCCCATTCCAAAAAATCTAGGGGCCAGGTGTGGTCACTCATCCAGCACTTTGGGAGGCTGAGGGAAGAGGATCGCTTGAGGCCAGGAGTTGGAGACCATTCCAAAAGATTTCAACATATTAAACACTGTCAACCCAGAGCCCTAAATCATGTGATTTTCTGAGCTATTTGAATGGGTGGCATTTTAATTAAATCATCAATACTCACTTTGAAGTGCATTTCCCACAATATCTAAGGATTATGGCATTAGAAAAAATATCTGAAAATCAAATCATCTTGAAGGCTCACTAGCCCTTGCTTTTGATTGGCCAAGAAAATGTTCCTTCAGAGAACTTTTGATGGGTTATTACATAATTCACTCATGATGGTTTCACAAAAAGAGTTAAATTTGGTAAGCTGAGGCAGGCTAGGGAAATCAGCAATTCTCTATTGTCACCACTTCCATCTTAGTATCCTCACACTCAATAATATTTACCTCATAAAACCTTGGAGACTCACTGTATTTATTCTCTACTTCTGTAATATTTTCTAATTAGATCTAAGAAAATGTACTGCACTGAAGTGAAATATAAGCAATGCCTTGCTCTGAGATCTCCCCTAATAATTTCTCTTGAAGAGCAACAACTGTGCAGTTCTAAGCCCCCAAGATTTTATCTTTATATTAATATTTGTCTAAGTTTAAGGTGAGAATAAATACCTAAAATCAACACTTCACTATCATGACTCTGTGGCTTTAGTCACTGTCACATCTGTAGCTTTTGTAGCTTCAGGGAAAGAAAAGGAAAAGACAGAGTTCTAGAGAAGAAAGAAGAGAGGGAAGAGTAAGAAAGGGAGGGAGATAAGTGCCCTCACTGTCCCCTTCTCTAACACTCTCCACAGCCTCCCCAACCTTCTGGGATTAGTGGTGCCCATTCAGCCTCTTCCAGAAGCATTTCTCCCCCATTCAAACATACCTACCTATCCCTTTCTGAAAGCCTAAAGCACACTTCATCATCCTCTCAATCTATCCATAAATTATTTCCATGAAATGTTTTTCTAGATGACAGTAAGCCTCCTTAGGACTGATGTATATTCTCAATGTTCAGCTAAGCATTAAGCTTTTCAAGCACAAAACCCCTCTTTTAAAGCAAGCATTTTTGTCCTGCCTCTTTTACTAACCTAAAATGAAACTCATAGACTATATAATCAACCTTTGCAACAGAATTTCACAAATATACAGTAGATATTTATGAACCAATAAAGTGCTTTCAGGCATGAGTATTTACACATTTAAGAAGTCCTCTGATGCTTGCCCTACTACCAATAAGTAAATCTGAATTCAAGAGAAGTAATAAGAAGGAAGTCTTTTCAAGAAAGGAAGGAAAGTGAAAGATTGAATGGTTGAGTGGTTGCATAGACGTTAGGATAAAATTTTGTGTTAGAATAAAAAACTATAAAGCAGACTTACAAGAAACATTATAAAATAAAAAGAAAATAAGATTAACTGAAGTCTAGATAACATGCCAAGGCAAATTATAGATGGTAAAAGTAAAGAAGTATGAAGAGTCATTAATATTCTCTCATAGGATATTAAGACTTACTCCATTATTCATAAAAAATTTTAAAGGAATCTCAACTTTGCTTTATTATATAATTGAACAAGGGACCTGCAAACGCTCACTGATAGACCTGTGTTGTGTTGGTTATTCGAGTACCATGGGCCACTCTGTTGCCAGTGACTTGCTTTTCCAAATGGTGAACAATTAGCAGTAAATCTTATAGTAATAAAGCAAACAATAGTCTTACTTGAAATTATACAGCAGTTGTAGTCTAGAGAAATTCAATGTACACTAAAATGAAATAAAAAAGGTTTTATATGTGCAACTGATTTTGTTTCTAGGCTCAAATAATTATAAACAGGTGTTTCACCTGTATGAATGTCCAAAGGGATATTTGAAAATGTAGGACAAAAAAAATTTCTTACAGGTACAGGACAACTTCTCACATTACAGAACTCCTCTCATACTTGAGCCCCATCCACCAAATGCTAGTAGCATCCCCCAAACATTGTGGCATCCGGAGAACACTTTCAAATCTTTCCTTAGGGGCCAGTATGACCTCACTGAAAATAAATACCCTTGAGAAATCACAACCCTTCAAACTCAGCTAGCTTTGGGAGTCAAATAGGAACATCAACGGGACAGGGAAGGGCAGAGCTGAATGGAGAGCATGTGCCCCAGCTACGGCAGGCAGCCACCAGCAGCTCCTGTCAACTAGGGCCATGCAAGATGATGAGCCCAAGCATCACAGAACTTCCCATCTTTCAAGAGAAAGTGGACATCTGGATCTTTATGTCAAATCTGTTTTAAATGACTTGCAAGCACTCTTCGAACTATACAAAATCTGTCTTTGGGCTGAGATGATTATTAGCTACTCAATCAGAAAATGAAACAACATCTATAAAATATGTAATGTCAAAGACCTGGTATTCAGTGTAACAAGCACATAACCAAGTACTTTGATCTCCTATTGCATATATGAAATATATAGAACAGACTCTGGAGTATCTGCCAGCATGTTAACAGGAATTCTCTATCAATATATTATTTTTTCATTTTCTTTTTACTTTTTGGTCTTCTCTAATTTTCCTAAAATAAACACATAAGGTTTTACAGTAAGAAATAAGCAATAGAAAGTATATTTCCACTTAAAAAAATAGAGGATGGTAGCTCTTTGAATACATTCAGGAAGGGCTACAGCTAAAATAGGCAAAACAAATGAAATTTCTCTTAAATTGTGGTCCCCAACCCCCAGAGCCACAGAAAAATTGTCTTCCATGAAAGTTTGGAATGGGAGGGGGCTGGCACAGCAGGAGGCATAAGGTGGGGTGGGGGTGAGCAAGCTAAGTAAGCTTCATCTGCATTTACAGCCACTCCCCATCGCTGACATCTTCACCTGAGCTCCACCTCCCCACCTCTATGGAAAAAATGTCTTCCATGAAACGTTCCTAGTGCCAAAAAGGTTGGGGACTGTTGCACTTAAATACCTAGTTCTGCTCCATCTCAAGCACTAGTCAAAGACCAGATGTAAAAATTAAACTGTCTGCAGCTCAGAATAGGGATGGGCTCAAGTAGTAAGATTTAGCTCCCTGTGTTCAAGATATATGGCATTATTTTATCTCCTTTATTAGAAAGCCAAAGCCCACACAGGGAGGATCAAAGCCTAACTGTATGTCATAGAAAGCACTCAAATAATTGTGAATCAATTTAAAAAATACCTAAGGCTTTAAAAGTGGTAAAAAATAAATTTTCCTATGAGCAATAATAATAATAATAATGTTAACCTCTAAAATGAAGGTGTTTTAGTAACTTAATTACCTTTTTCCTATTACTAAATTAATATTAGAAGCTGAGTCATGTTTGAATTCAATAAAATTATTTTATTAACTTCCTCTAAGGCTTAAAATATACTTTATTAAAGTCCCCTTCTTATAAGTCAGTCTTATCCTTCACTCTGCTGAAAACTTGGACCACATTTTATTCCTATAACAACTTCTTTTCCCCCAATTTAGAAATATTTAATTAGAAATGTTTCAAAGCTGATCCTCCTAGGTACCAAACACAACATCCTGAAAAATAAGCTTACATCTTGAAATATCATACATAATAAGACCATTTAAAACACACATCTATATATACTACAAAGTCATAATTACTATTGATTTTTTGCAATCTAGAAAAATGTACCACCAGAGTGTATAGAGAGGAACTAACAGAACCATGGTAAATGGTGTAGAAATGAGGATATATTTTTTGGAGATATTACCTTTTTTTCTTCTCTTAGGGAGTGCAGTCATGCATGGTGCTTTTTTTGAAAGGAAATTCACCTTCTTTCCTGTCTTAAGTTATATGCTGACTAGAGCTTGAGTTCTAAAATACGTGTTCAAGTTTATTCATTTCAATTCTGCAGAATCAGAAGATTATACAGTTTGTGAACTAAATCTTTCCTTTCAGTTGTATCTTTCAATTTTGATTATAAAGGTAGATGTTTGCAGGTTTGAAATTTGCTAGTTCAACACTGTTGGGGAACCCAGGGTAAACAACAAATTTACCAATTGCCCGGCATAAAAAGAAAATCTCACAAGCGATAGCATCATGCAGTACATCTTTCTGAGATGCATCCCAAATTTAATCTCTCTAAAATGCTTTAGGCATTTGACTGAACTTGCTGCTAAGGTGATTATTTTTAGCCAAGATTCTGCTTATTGACATATGTTCAAATAAATGAAAAAAACTGCCATTGGAATACAACTTGCTGAAAAGAAAGAGCATTCCAATATGTGTGTGTGTGTGTGTGTATGCACATATTCCCTGGTAAAAATAACACATAATATTCAACTTTATTGGTAATCAAATAAATGTAAATTATAAAAGATTAACATTTTACCTATCAATTGATGCTAATAGATGACGACAAGCATGTGATGTGAAAAGCACTGCTCGTAAGAGTGTAAATTGGTGCGCGTTTCCTGGTAGAAAAATAGTCTCAGTATATCAAGAATCTTTTATAAAGTTCACACTTTTTAAGAGTGATCCTATTTCTGGGAATGATTTCAAAAGAAAAAAAAATCAAAGATGTGGATGGTGATTTATGTAAATCAATGTCCATCACACTGCTATTTCAAAATGTCATTGAACAACTGCAAGTGGTCTATATGCCCAATATAAGAGGAATTAATAAAAGAAATTATGGTATAATTATATGATAAGTTATACAAACTTCTACAAATCATTATATTGAAAATATTTAATAATACTAAAAATGTTCATAATACAATGTTAAGTAAGAAAAAAGATTAGATCCTAATCTTGTAACACAATCATAGTCATGCCATTCACACCCTCACACTTCCCACAAAATTTACCCACATATTCAACAGAAAACAGACCAAAAGAGAAGCCCAGAACGTGAAAAGTGTGCCCTTCACTTGTTCTTTGGCTTCGGGAATTTTATTTTATTTTTACTTAGGCTTAGTGGATTTTTATCTTTCTTCTTGATAAAGCAAAGCCTGTGTGCCAACTCAAAAGATTTAAGGTGAAAATCAGCCTCACATAAATGGGGAAACAATTGTCCCCTGGTCATCTTTTTTGCTACTCCACAAGAGATTAGATTACTTTTTTTAAAAGAAACAGAGTGTTAAAAATCACATCCTATTTATTACAAAATGAGTAAGAAAATTTTTACCTCGGACAACAGTAAGTGTTGAATTTAAACAATATGAAGAAGAAAGAAATTTAACATTATCTAGCCCTTTAATACAAGACACGTGATGAATTTTAAGTCATTTAATTATCACAACAATCCAGAAGAATAAGCTTTCTTACACCTGTGTTACAGATGGCGCAACTAATTTACCCAAAGATTAGGTCAATTGACCAAGGTCTCATTTTGGCAAATGAAGGACCGGAACTGATTACAGCTGATTCTGACCACAAAACCAATGTCTAACACTATACAAAGACATTTCTTTTGGAACACAGATAGATCACATGTGGTAGTCCTCAAATTACAGACAAACAACAAAATCTTTGAGGATCATAAAATAATGGAGATTAAGAATAAGAATAAAATATGCTTTTCTTCTTTGCAGGTACTGTGGTGGAAAATGAGATTGGAGGTAATAGAGAAATGGAAAAAAGTACACAATTGAATACATGACTGAGCCATGTTTTCTGAAACAAAAGCTAGGACAGGTGATCTGAATACATGAAACAGAAGTAGTCCCAAAGTTTCATGTTTCATGTGGACACCATTGCTCAATGTTTAATGAAAAAATATATTTAATATACATGTATATATATATATATATATATATATATGGATAGCTAAGCTGGCATCTTACATATTATTTGTAAATACCAAATTAAATTCATAATTATTTTTGTTGACTTTAAAGAGAAAGTTGCAACTATTATATTAATACAAATAATCATAAAATCAAATAATACCAAAAAATAAATAAGGACAAAAGTAAAAACTGCCTCAAAATCCTACACTGCACAAAAAGCCAGTGTGAAAAATTTGGCAGCCTCCTGAACTTCTTTCTATTCACCTCCATAAAATCTTAATAGCACTTAAGAAAATATTGTGTAAATTCTCCACATTGTGTAACTAGTGACCCAAGGCAGGTTTTGAACACACATGGGTCTAACTCCCACAGTGATGTTCTTTTCACCTCCTCATTTTGCTGGGGTCAGTAGATGAAATACTCTACAAAGATAGAAAGTGTGAGTTTTGTTATTTTGTTTTTAATACTTTTCTAAATCCAAAGTATTAGGTGGCCAATTCTGCTGTTTACTACTGTTTCCTTTTGAGCAAATCATTTAATCCATAGGCTGAATATTTCCTATCTATAAGTAAGGGTGATCACCTCCAGAGTTCTGAAAAAGTCAATGACTCAGTGACTAAATGGAATTATATTTCAGTATCTTTAAAATCCTGATTTAGAGAAATGCAACAAGCTTTACATAAAAATTAAATGCAAATATTTATAATTTTATTGTAAATGAAGAATTAAGATACAATTGGGCTATATGTACTGACAAACCATTATGCAAAGAGGAATGATAATCAGTTCACTAAATAACATTCAGCCCACTGTTATATTCTCTGCTACCTAACCTTAGTATTCCACTAAATTTAAAATAAATCTCTAATTCACCTTTGATATACTCTCTCTTATATTCCTACTATATCCTACTATGAAATATCTCCCTTTACTGGGTTACAGTGTACTTTGAGTATTTGAAAAATTATGAGATGATAATTTCAGGCACTGAGGACCAAAAAGGGGTCAAAGGATTTCATATGCTCTTTATTCCCTTTCAAATGGAGGTCCTAAAAATATCCAGAATTTCCAACATTTCCTTCAGCTCTAATTCCAAGGGTGGGAATCTTTGATCATTCAAACAGTCCTGGGTTCTAGCTGGTTCTGTTCACGTGGAGACTGGGCTGTACTGAGTGAAGATCACACCCTCAATCAGGTGGCCAAGAGAAGGGAGTGCCCAGATCCATTTATTAACATTTCCCAGGGGAATAGCATGGACCCATCCTGAAATGCAATTGTAATCAATCTGCCTCATGGACCCCTTGAAAATAAGTTCCTCACCAGGTCACACACAATCCAAGTGAGTTGAATTCTTAAAGAAGTTGTCAGCAAGTGATAATCACCTTCTCTCAGTGCAAATATGCCACTTTCTTTTCTGGGAAGGTGTACTAGGACCTTTCATTGCCTTGCTTAAGAATAATAATCTCAACATATAACTCCCATCTACTGCCCTAAGAAGTAAAATGTTTTTATTTCTCAACACTAGGTAGTCCCTGGCACCATTTTGGATTTTCCTGAGAAACGTTCATAATATGCTTCCAAACTATATAGTCTTCGGAATGCTACTAAACTCTCTGGCATTTATTTTCTCATTTATAAAATTGAGCTTATAATACCCTGTGAACATTAAATAAGGTTAATTTATATAAAAAGCCTTTGTACAGTGACTAGCACATTATAAATGGTCCAAATTTGAATAATACAATTACTATATTACAAATAAACAATATTTAAGTAGTTTTTTCCTCCAAATACCAAGAAGTATATTATGATGACTGTGCACATGCATGTGTGTGTGTGTGTGTGTGTGTGTGTGTGTGTGTGTGTGTTTCCTTCAATATTTTTTATGTCGCTGTAGGCTCATTTTGGCCTTTTCTAAAAGCTTTACTATATAGTTTTTAAAATCCTTTTAAGATCCATAATCCTATTGAATCAGGAATAAAACGTGTACTTAGTTTCAGGCAAACAATTGTTCAACAGAAGCTCCTTCATATTTTAATTACTCCCTCTTCCCTCTCCAAGTTCACTGTTGTTCTCTGATTTTTAATCTTGAAAGCAAGGCAGGGTA